AACAAAAGAGACTTAGTGTTATTAATGATTCAACTTTTCATTAACTTGATTCAAAATGCAACTTTAAGGTTTTAAAAATGAAACAATAGCATTTGGAAATGAAAGAAAATGTAATTTTAAAACTCATTTTAAATTAAAAAGATACGTACTTTTAAATGCAACAACAATGTTAAAAAAAAAAGTACTTCTTTTTATAAAGTTTGTTAAAGTTAAATAATGCGCCATAGTGGACTCATTGTTAAACAAAGTTTATACTACTTTAAATGCTTTTTAAGTTTTCTTTTAAATAACTGGAAGGAATAAAATCTTTATAGATCAAAATATATTTTTATTAATAAATACACTCTTTTAAGTAACAAACTGTCTGGTCGACCTGCCGGGATACTAAAAGGCATTTTTTTTAAATTTTAGTTGCCCTAGGAGAAAACGAGTTGTCCAATGCCACAGGATGGCCATGAGATTACACCCCTGACCTTTGTAATTAAACTCTAAATCCAATTAAAAAAGATAGCGCAAAATTAGAAAAATCACCTTCTGAATTACCAATAACACTTACTTAAGCAACATACTATTACAGTATGTTGCTTAACTCAAAGTCCCTTGCCTATTGTTGTGAGAACTATTTTCTTTAAAATATTTTTAGGTAAAAAAGCGGTAGATGCAGAAAGTGATGATAAACAACTTTATTAAATATAAATATTTTTCACCAATAATTGTCTCAAATAATTTTTCAAAATTTCACCAATAATTTATAAGAAAAGACCACTCTCCAAATTTTTGTAACACTTTTAACTAAACTATTCAGGAGTATATCTTGAAATAAACTTTTGAGCTACATTGCCATTTTTCTAATTAAACTCGTCCCAGTAAAATTGCGATAAAGGTAAAAATTACCTTAAAATTAAGTGTTATATTTACTTTTAAATATTTTAAGTTGTTTTATCAGATTCCTTGCCTCAAAATATGTAAGTGTACACATTTTCAACTTTCTATTGTTCACTAAACAGAAACAATAACCCAAACCATTTTTAAATGGCAGATTTTTGTTCAAAGAAAAGTTTGAAAAATTCAAAGAAAAGTTTGAACTGTCATATCTTTGAAACCATTTGAAATTAGATGATAAAATTTTGTGAATGTTCTTAACTCATTAACATCTTTAAGGTGTAAAAATCAGCAAAATCTAAGTTGCATGTCCTGGATGATTTCACATGGAATTTATTGTTAGTTAAATTACTAGTTATTAACTAGTTCATTTTATTAAAAAGTTTTGTAAATGGTTTTTATTTTTAAGAATAATTAATATTGTAGTTCATTATGTTCCTCGTAATTCTCAACTACAAAGAGATGCAGGAAGAACTCTAAAATCTGGAAATATGAGTGAGATTGCTGGAATGACTCCAATTTTATCACGATCTTCTGGAGCTTATGATGAAAATTATCTTGTTGGAAGTTTGATAAAATCTGATGATTTTGATCACCGTTCTGATGTTGGAGATCAACGGTTATTAAAGCCTTGCTTGATGCCTTATGAAATTGTTGAATATCAACCTTCTGTACCTACTCAGGAAGGACCTACTCAAGAACAAATTAAAGAAGTTGCTACCAAATTAGCATGTGTTGGAGATGAAATTCAAGAAGAATATGTGAAAAAAAACAAGGTACAGTAAAATAAAAAATCTCATTGATTGATGGTTTAAATTTGATAGTTCAAGTTTTATTTATTATATTTTATTGCAAATAATGTTTTATATATATAGTATATATATATATATATATATATATATATATATATATATATATATATATATATATATATATATATATATATATATATATATATATATATATATATATAATATATATATATATATAATATATATATATATATATATATATATATATACATATATATATATTTATATATATATATATATATATTTATAATATATATATATATATATATATATATATATATATATATATATATATATATATATATATATATATATATATATATATATAGTATATATAGTATATATGTATATATCATATTATAAAAGTTGTCCTGAGATGGACAGCACTCATCTTATTCTGTAACCTCAGGAGTTCCTCAAGGTTCAATCCTTGGCCCTATACTCTTTAATTTACATTAACAATCTTCCAGATATTCTCACATCTAAAGTTGCATTGTCTGCTGATAATACTACCATTTATTCTTATCATGATATGAACCCAGCACTCTCTGATTGCTTGGAGGGGGCATTTGAGCTTGAATAGGACTTCACTTTTGCTATAGTATGGGGCTCACAATGGCTGGTGAACTTTAATTCAGATAAAACTCAATTTTTTTCAGCCAATCATTGTAGCAATAGTTTAGACCTTCCTATATTTATGAACGGTAATGTACTCGATGAGTCATCTACCCTTTATCTTCTAGGATTAACTCTTACTTCTGATCCTTTTTGGAAACTATATATCAAATCTGTTGCAAAATTAGCATCTGCTATGGTTGCATCTCTATTGAGCTCGGCACTTTCTTACTCTGGATTCTACTCTCTATCTCTATAAATCTCAAATCCGGCCTTGTATCGAATACTGTTGCCATATCTTTTTAATGTCAGGTCAGGTTTATCCTGCTACTGGTAACATGTAACCCAGTACAATCTGCTTCATGTCCTGCTGCCTTTTAGGAAATGCCTTTTTAGGCAAAGGCTAGGAGATGTAAACTCTGACATAAAATACCCCCTGCCTTGGGGCTCTTGGTTGAGTGAAGGCTAGAGATGGTGTCTCGATAAAAATATGTCTTGTAGAAGGCCTCCTAGGCAAAGACTTAAGGGGTAAACAGATTTTATCTGTTGACCAGCCTCGTACCCCATCTTCATCTATTAGGCTGGCGCAGATGTATTTTTAATACATTGTTTCCAGTTTAGGATGTTGAACGCTGGATCTTCTTGACTCGATTCATGGGTTTTGCTTGTGTCTCTTTTTTTATGACTAGGCAACTCATTCTATTATCTCCAAATGAGGGTACAGCTCTAAAACTCAGTTTTATGGTTCTTAGGCCGGCTGGTAGTCAGGTTTCCCAAACTCTGTGGTAGCTCTCAGAGAGGCTGATTCCATCAACAGCTGAAAAATATCAGAGTACTAACAGTGCCATGTTGCGCATGGATGGTGTCCCTGTTAGTACGTTTGGTGTGTATTGCCGAGGCCACATTGGAGCCCTTTGTTACGGCTTAGGGTTTATTAGTGGAAATGAGGCAATTGCTTGAGCTATAAAACAGTGTACTGAGTACTATCTATGTTTCGAGTCAAGTTCTTTAACAAATTTAAAAATGAATAAAGTAACAAAAAATATAAAACACAAAAACCACAGTCATCACCAAGTTCGCTAAACCTATCATTCACCAATATTCGTGGTCTTCGAAGTAACTTTTCTTCTGTTGAGTCTCATCTCTTGCAAAGTTCACCAGACCTACTTGCTCTTTGTGAGACTAATTTGAGTTCAACTGTCTCATCTTGTGATCTTAGTGTTGATGGTTATCTTCCTTTAATTCGTAAAAACTTCAATAGTCACATGCTTGGCCTGGGCATTTACATTCATAAGACTTCACCCATTTGTCGGCAAACTAGGTTTGAATCCACAGACTACTCTTTTATGTGCTTTTGTTTAGCACCATTTCACTCTATCACCTTTCTCTTTGTTCTATATCTCTCTCCCTCATCTCAAGACTGCACTCTTCTTGATGATATTTCTGATTATATTGACCAAGCCCTCATTCTTTATCCATCAGCCAATATTGTTGTTGTCGGTGACTTTAATGTTTATCACACTGAATGGCTTGGCTCTAGTGTCAGTGACTCTGCAGGCATTAAGGCCCACAACTTTTGTCTTTTCTCAATCCCTAACTCAAATAGTCAATTTTCCAACTCGCTTTCCAGACAACCCAAATCATTTACCTTCTCTACTCGACTTATGTCTTGTTTCTGATCCTAGTCAGTGCTTAGTTTCTTCACACTCACCCTTAGGTGCGTCTGATCATGGTTTGGTCTCTCTAAAACTATTATCTCATTTTTTTTTACCATCAGAATCCCCCTATCATCGTACATCTTACAACTACCTTAAAGCTGACTGGGACTCTTTCCGTGATCTTCTTCGTGATGGCCCCTGGGTAGAATTCTTTCGTCTTCCTGTTGACAAATGTGCTTCTTACATAACCTCGTGGATTCAGGCTGGCATGGAATCCTTTATTCCCTCTCGACGATTTCAGGTCAAGCCTCACTCTTCTCCATGGTTTTCCTCATATTGTGCTGCTGCAATTGCCAATCGAAACCATTACTTCCATATCTATCAGAAAGACAATTCTCCAGAAAACAGACTTCTGTTTATTACTGCTAGGAACCATTGTAAAAAGGTTTTGTCTAACGCCAAAGCCTGCTATTTTCAGATCATGAAATCTCGTATTTCATCACAAAAATTAGGCTCTCGTGTCTTCTGGAGAATCTTTAATAGTATCAATAATAAGGGCAAGTCTGTAATTCTACCTCTTTTGTATGGTTCAGACTTTGTCACCTCACCTAAAGACAAAGCTGAATTGTTTGCCAAGAACTTTTCATCAATATCATCTCTTGATGCCACTAGTTGCGTTCTACCTGATATAGCAGTCAAACAAGTTGATCCATTGCTTGACATTCGTATCACTCCAGCTTCTGTATCTAAAGTGATTTCCCGCTTAGACTCTTCTACAGCTTGCGGCCCGAATAACATACCTGTTATAGTCTTGCAGAAGGAGCTGTTGTCTATCCTTTCAAAACTATTTAACAAGTGCTTATCAGAGTCTTGTTTTCCAGCCTGCTGGAAAGCAGCATCTGTTATCCCTATTTTTTAAAATTCTGGAGAGCGATCTGATTCATCTAACTATCGTCCCATTAGTCTTCTTCCTATCATAAGCAAGGTTTTTGAATCTTTAATTAACAAACACTTGATCTCTCATCTCGAATCTCATATCCTACTTTCTGATCATCAATTTGGATTTCGATCTTCTCGTTCTATGGCTGATTTGCTATCAGTAATAACCGATAGGTTTTATCGTGCATTAGTCAAAGGTGGAGAGGTTAAGGCCATTGCTCTTGACATTTCTAAAGCGCTTGATAAAGTTTGGCATGCTGGTCTCCTCCATAAGCTTTGCTCTTACGATGTATATGGAAACATCTTTAATATTATTGAATTTTTTCTTTCCAATCGTAGTATAAAAGTTGTCCTTGATGGACACCACTCTTCTTTTTATTCTGTAACCTCAGGGGTTCCCCAAGGTTCAATCCTTGGCCTTATACTCTTTTTAATTTACATTATTACGATCTTCCAGATATTCTCACATATAAGGTGGCATTGTTCGCTGATGATACTACCATTTATTCTTGTCACGATAAGAAGCCAACTCCCTCTGATTGCTTGCAGGAGGCATCTGAGCTTGAAAAGGATCTCACTTCTGCTTCAGCATTGGGCTCACAGTGGCTGGTGATTTTTAATTCAGATAAAACTCAATTTTTTTCAGCCAATCGTTATCGCAATAATTTAGACCTTCCTATATTTATGAACAGTAATGTACTCGATGAGTCTCCTACCCTTCATCTTCTAGGATTAACTCTTACTTCTGATCTTTCTTGGAAACCTTTTATCAAATCCGTTGCAAAATTAGCATCTGCTAAAGTTGCTTCTCTTTATCGAGCTCATCACTTTCTTACTCTAGATTCTATTCTCTATCTATATAAATCTCAAATCCGGCCTTGTATGGAATACTGTTGCCATATCTGGGGCGGATCTTCTAATGATGCCCTTTCTCTTTTAGACAAAGTGCAAAAACGCATTGTAAACATAGTTGGACCTGCTCTTGCAGCCAACCTTCAACCTCTGTCACATCGTCGTAATTTTGCTTCTCTTTCTCTTTTCTAGAAATACTATAATTGGCACTGCTCTAAAGAGCTAGCGTCTCTTGTGCCATCTACTTAAATTCATTCTCGTGTTACTCGTCATTCAATCAAGTCTTATCCTTTTTCTGTTACTGTGCTCCAAAAACTCTTATTCGTCTAGTTTTTTTCTTCGAACATCAAATCTTTGGAATTCGCTTCCTTCATCTTGCTTTCCTGATTCATATAATTTGCAATCTTTTAAGTCGTCTGTCAATCGTTATCTTGCTCTACAATCTTCATCTTTTTTCTTCCAGTAACTTCCAACACTAATTAATGGTTGCTTGCAGCCTTGTTGGAAGCGAAAATAATAAAAAAAATATATTTATATCTGGGCAGATCTTCTAATGATGATCTTTCTCTTTTAGAAAAGGTGCAAAATTGCATAACATAGTTAAACCTGCTTTTGCAGCTAATCTTCAACCATTATCAAATCATGGTAATGTTGCTTCTTTTTCTCTTTTCTTCAAATACTATAATGGGCACTGCTCTAAAGAGCTAGCATCTCTTATGCCATCTTCTAAAATTCATTTTAGTGTTACTCCTCATTCAATTAAGTCTCATCTTTTTTCTGTTACTGTTCCTAAGTGCTCCAAAAACTCATATTCCTCTAGTTTTTTTCCTCAAACATCAGTTCTTTGGAATTCACTTCCTTCATTGCGTTTTCCTGATTCATACAATTTGAAATCTTTTT